TACACATAAATCTATTTTTGCATCTAGAGTTTGCCTGAGATGAAAAGAGCTAACTTCATTCCGCTGCTGCTACAAATTGCTTTGTTTAATCACACACATACATACATACAGATATACCGATAGATATATGCATATATATGTGTATATACATCCTCTTCAGTTACGTATTAGAGTGAGATGGCAGACACACACACACACACACATAAGCAGTGAGCGAGAGAGCAATAGCCGCCACAATCGAGCTTTTATTTGTATACTCATTCACGTAAATGAAATGGGTATATTATTTATATGTGCAATGTCCTTCCGCTTGTCTGTCTGTCCCTTTGTCCGTGCGTCTATGCGCTAGATAGATTTGAAATTGCTCTAATAAAATGTCAATATTTTCCCGATACGCCCACTGTTTAGGCGTGGCAATGCATTTTGCGGCATCTCGGAAACTAATGTGATTGAAGAGCTACCGAGTTGAAATTCGGAATATAAGAATATATTCGCGTTGACAATTCAAGGATATATCTATAGGGGCGTGGCAAAAGCTTATATAGTTCTAGAGCTAGAGATGATGACATCCTCTATTGCCTTGTAACATATGTATATGTACACAATCGGGGGCGTGGCAAATCGGCAAATGCTTCTAAATGGTCGTGAATGAGTATTCAGCAGTCGGTAATGGCCGACTGCCAGGCTCTCACTGGATTTTTGTGTTTTCCTAGAGCAATGAGGCCTGCGGACAGACAGATCAGAAATGTGGAACTAAATCAGAATTTAATAATAACGTATGTATTAGAAAAGGCAAAACGTAAATGAATAAATAAAGCAAACAAACAAAACAGAAGAAGAAGAAGCAAGAAACCATATACGTTGACATTTCATTTGATTGCACAACAAATTTAACTGCTAATTTAAAAATGTTCCCGCCTTTGCTTTTATGATTCGAGTGGAGCTATGTGAGGCGAATCGCCGTTCTGTGAGCACAGCAATTATATATGGAATGCAATCTCGAGTCGTAAGCACTTTTCGCCAGCTGCTCCAAAGGGGGGCAGGTGTCGCCACCCAATCACATACATATATGATATACATATAGGGTGTATATAGCAATTATATATATATATAAATTGTCACACAATCTGAAATCAATTATTGTTGCCAATCGCATTCGCCTGGCCCTGATAAGCGCCCTCACGTGGATCCAGCCAACGGCTTATCTAACTAATGTGATCTCAGTTAATAATTTTTTGTATTTTTTTTTTGCTTTTTTGTGTGCAAAGTCCATGCGTCATAAAGGCTAAATGCTGATCAGCAACGTTAAGCTAAGGTAATTCGAAAGAGAGAGAGAATTTCAGATTTAAGGGAAATAAACTTGGATTATAACAGCAATGAAGATGATCTAATAGGAACTATACCTGGAGAGGGCCTGGAAGAGCCTTTTGGTAAATCTACGCATATCTCTGAAGATTTCTGAGCTGGAGAATTTCGGAATACAGAGAATTAGAATCGGAAAGAAGTTCCTTAAACTATACTTAGAGAGCGGGACCTCCTCAGTGTTAAGACTGGGATATTCTTATTTGTAAAAAAAAAAATTATATAAATTGTTTTGTAGAGTTTCCCAAAATATTCGTAGCTTATTTGAATTTTCTAATTCTAAAATTTAGCAATAATTAGAAAAAATGTTTGGTTTTACAAATATTATATTGTTCTCATTTTTTTTGACGATTTTTTCCTTTTATATAGGCTTCAAGGTTTTTAATATATTATTTTTTAATGTTTTATTATTATAATTTTGTTGTTCTCCCTTATTTACAAAATATTAAATTTATTTTGATTTTTTTAAATTTATTTATTTTGATATAGACTTTATTATTATTTCTTTATGCTTTAATTTTTTCTTATTTGGGGATTGCACAAACTATTTTTTTTTTTTTTTTAATTTATAATTTTATACAAATTTTGAAATGCATTTTATTTTCTAGATTCTAGAGTTTTACAAAATTTGTTAATAATCTTTACAATTATTTTTTTTTTATTTATAAAAATTTAATTTTGCATGTAGGCCTGGGAATACCTCAACTTTAATAAACCCTATGAAATTTCCAAAATATAAATATAAATAAAATATATATTTTTTTAGTTCTTTTATTCAAAAAACTCGAAGCTGTCTGGAACATAGGCGTTTGCCAAGTCTTTTAGCTTACAATATACGCATATAGGTTTATATAGATTAGATACAGATTAGATTATACGAAAAAAAATAAAATAAAAAATAAAAAACATTGATTTGTGTAATATTGCCATTGCCACGCCCACTAAGCAGCAGTCATTTTGGCTGGCAGACGTCGGCGCACAACTTTGGTCAGCCGGCGAGCAGGAGGCGGGGATGCGCCCGTGGCCAGCGCTGGCATAACGGTACTATTCATGGCCAGAGCTGGAGGCGCTGTGGTCAGGCCATCGTCAACGCCATCGCCAACGCCATCGCCCTGGCGGCTGCCCTGCGCATAGCTGTAGCTGATGGTGCGCTTGTAGATGCGCTGCTGCTGCGACTGCCTGGCGTGCGGCTGAGCGCTGCTCTTGCTCTTGCTCAGCTTGTTCAGCTCCGCGTCGTAGCAGCGGCGCAGCTGCTGTCCGCCGCCATCCTTGCACTCGTAGCAGACGCTCTTGCCCACCAGGCGACGCTCGCAGAGGCTGCTGCTCTCGCCGCTGCTGCTGCTGCTGCTGGGAGTGCTGCTCCTGGTGGCGCCTCCTGCTGGCTGCACAATTGTCGTGTGCCGCTTGCCATAGCGACGCTGACGTGGCGTCGGCATCGACTGCCTTGGCTGCTCCTCGCTCTGATCCTCCTCGGGCGCTATGTCCCGATAGCGCCTATACTGGCTGCCACTGCCGTAGGCGTACTGCTCCGGCTGCTCCTCATGCGAGTAGCTGCACGTCTCGGAGACCTCGTTGTTGCGCGGCTCGCGGCATATTTCGCACAGCTGGCCGTGGCGACGGACGTGACGGCAGCTAGTCGGCTGCGTCTGCTTGTGCTTCTGCTGCTGCTGCAGATTGCTTGCCTCGGCTTGGGACTCAACGCTCTCCTCCTGCTCGGCCGCATCCTCGTCGCTGTCCTCGGGTATGCGATCGAAATACTGCCGCACAAACTGCTCGTAATTGCGCTCGTAATCCTCGCCAGAATGGCCCTCGACGCTGTGGCTACTCGGCTCCAGTTCCACGTCCACGTCATCATCATCAGCTGCATCTGTTTCCGTCTCCAGCTCATCCGCATCCGCATCGTCATCGGCCGCATCCTCGTCCAGCTTGGCCTGGGCCACCGGCAGCTGTGCCGCCAGAGCCTCAGCCCGGCCCGGTTGCACGTCATCGGCATTGGTGATCGCATCCAGCCGCTGCAGCAGCTTGCCCGGCGCAAAGGCCTGCCAGTAGTTGACACTGTGGTCGTAGCCACCAGCGACCGCTCCGACCAGCACCAGCATCAGCAGCAACATTTCGATTGCAATTTGAAGCGCTGCCTCGAGCGACAGCAGCCTATATAAGCCAGCGGGCGATCCAGCGATGCGTGGCCAAACCAATTGGACACCGATGATTGGGCAATGGCAAACCGCAGCGCGTCAGGAAATGCAATCGACGGCGACTGGAGGAAGTGCGAGTGAAAGGCATAGATTCGTGGCTGGCGCTTTATTGTGCCCAACCATGGCGAAAAGCAAAATAAAACGAGAGAGAACTCAAGTCGGGGTTCATTAAACTAAGGCCAATTGGTAGCTAAAACTTTGTCTTCTTGTCGATAAATAGATGGCGAATGGATCGTGGAATGGATGGGAGCAGATGCGGGCGGATGTCAGCGGACTACGCGATGCGCTGCACATCGCTGATCCGCTGGGCACCGATGCTCGGCTGCGGCGCTTTGGGCGGCGGCTGGCGCTGATGTCGCAGCTCGCGCCGTTTTTCCCGTATGATCTGTTTCGTCTGGGAGGTGTCCAGCTCCTCCCAGCCGCCGGCATTGTCATCCACCCAGTCCTCGAGATCGGCCTGCAAAGTAAACATTGATCAGTTGACCGCACACAGATGCACTTGCTCTCGCTGCTTTACTTACATTAACACTAATGGGCACAATGTCCTGTGCCTTCAGTCTTGAGAAGTCTGTGGGCGCTGGCGTCGGCGCCGCATCGTCCAGATAGTATTTCGGCTGCGGCTTGATCACTGGCGTCAGTTCCTGCACATGAACAGAAATGAGAGCGTGTGCTCGGAGCGCCTCTGGCATACACTTACGCTGAAGAAGTCCGGCTCGGGCTCCTCTTTGGGCGGTGTGGGCGGCTGGGCCATGCGCTGGCGATACTGTTCGATGTGCTCCTCGACGGTGCGTGGACTGTCGTCCCACGAGTTCCAGTCACGCTCCTTGGCGCCGCCATTGCTCGACGTCGCCGGCTTCGCTGTGGCTGGGAAATCGCCAATCGTCACGGCTTGGAGCTGATCGGCGCCGCTGTGGCTAAGCTTGCGGCGTCGCGAGAAGCAGCAGAGGGCGCGCCGGAAGAGCGTAACGATGCCCAGCAGGAGCATTTTAATTTGTTGCAGTACCATTTGTTCAGAGCTTAATTAAGACCTTTTTATTTTGTGAAGGGGGGAATGGGGTTCAGCAAAAGTAAGTGGGGCACAAAAGAGAAACAAGCAAAACAAATATGATGTGTCGTGTGAGTGTGACCGCGCATGGTGCAGCTATCAGCTGTTCGTGGACAACGACAAGCTGAATGCTATGTCACTTTCACTCGATAACAAAATGTTATACGATGATTGTGTGCACAAAAGTTCAAATTTGGCTTACGCGAAATGAAAAACTAAATGAGCATACCAAATTTTCAATAAACAAATATATAAATATAAATATAATTACAAATATACATAATACAAATATTTAAGCAACTGCTTGATTTGAATACGAAGGCTTACCCGATAGCTGCTCGATAATTTCATGTTCTTGGTAGAGCTTTTCTGAGAATTTCAAATGGGAAAACAAACGGTTTTGTGTTTGCTTCTCTGTTTATTCAATTATACCTACGTGGTGTATGAAAACTAACATTCGTTTATTCTATACGCATAAAATTACAACAGCCAAACGCTTTTTAGTGCACCATCCTGTTGTTTCCATTGTCGTGCTCACACACATTATTCTGCTCGAGTTTGTTGCGCCGGCGAAATTTAACACACAAAATTTCGATGATCCAAGGCACAGCGCAGAGGGCCATGAAGACGTTCAAAATGTGGAAAACCAACAAATAGTCTTGTGTTCGATCTCGTATATAACCCACAATTGGACCAATTATAAACATTGCGTTTCCCTGCGTAAACATAAACAGGCCGTAGCCACTGGCAAATCTGCGAAAATCAAAATCTTAAGTTATTTAGTTCTGGCAATTTAAAATAGAGTTACCGTACCGATCTTTTGGCAAGTAATCGGCAAACACCAAGGGCAGCGGAACATGAATCCAAGTGCGCAAGAAGCCAAGCACGGCTGTGATGCAGGCCATCCCTACGAAATCAGTAATGCCGTTGAAAGCTGTAGTGATAAATAAATATATTCATTTATTTAGCATCATTTGTATTCATATGTCACTTACCAAATCTGGTGAAAACAGTGAAAAGGGAACCAGTCAAGTAAATGTAACGTGCTGGCACTTGAATGAAAATCGCAGTAATTGCCAGAAATATGCGAGATAGCAGATCCGCAGCGGCGCCAATAGCTATGATATTTGCAGTATCAGGCTGAAAATTCAACAATATTAATAAGTTAATTAACGAATATAAAATGTACTGAACTGTATTTGATGTGAACGAACGAACTTTCAAGTTTTTCGACGACACTGAACTCTAACAATCTCTCCATCTGCTGGCAACGCCAAAAAAAAAACAACGGTTCTTTTTCGACCGAAAACTGAAAAGTCGCGCGACCAATTGTCTATTGATCTCTTTTTAGGCTGCAGTTTTAGCTTGCTGCGACTGCGTGCGAATGAGACAATTAGACACTGACTTAGCTCTCTGCCTATTAAAAACGGCCACAAAATCTGCCGGCAGAGGCTGCTCGCCAGAAAGTCTAGCAAATTTAATCACTTTACGTTTGGCCGGCACCGAGGAAACTCTTTTATGAACAATCGTCTCGTTTTTTTTTTCTTGTGAATTTAAAGTGATATACATATAAAGACTTAAAAATTTTGCTAAGAATTTGTAAGTACATCAATACATGTAGAAATATTTTAGCATACATTTTTTTGTGTGTGAAAGTGCTTTGTTATGAACATTGTTTAAAGAGTTTGGCAACAAAAAAAAACGAAAAACAAAAATAAATCGAAATTATAAAATTCATACACATATTCCTCTAGAATTTTCAAATGCTCATTTCAATGTGCTCGCGCATGCTTATGTGCGCAAGTGCGCGCAAACGCAAAGCAAAGTACATACAATAAGAGTGAATGCGGTGCAGCTCTAGGCCTGCGCAAAAGTTTGCCGCGCGGATTCAAAATGGTGGATGGCAAGCAGAGACTTCTGTGGGCAAACGTTTGCGCGTGTGTGTGTGCATGAGCATGGGCTGCCGTTTTTGTGTGTATGTGTGCATAGGAACATTTTTACGCACACGCAGCTAAAGTAAATGAAAGGTATATAAAGGCGCGCATAAAATTGTAATTTGTGCAATAAGAGTGAATTTAATAAAATACATAATTGAAATGAAATTAAATACGTATATAAAAAGAGATTAAATAGAGTAAAGAAAAGTTTAGGAATTCTTGATGTTTGAAGTTAGATGAAATTATATAGGAAAATAAAAAAGCAGGTATATAAAGTGCAGAATAAAAATGGACGACAGCTCTACACATTTGCAAGTACATAACAGTGAATTTAATACAATCAAATTGGTGAAGGAATGCTTTGCTTTGTGAAAAGTATAAATTCTAAATTCTGCAAATAAGAGTGAATTTAATAAAATACATATATGAAGTTAATTTAAATACTTATAAAATATGAAATTAAATAGAATACAAAAATTAAGGAATTCTTGATGTTTGAAGTTAGGTGAATTTATGTAGGAAACTGAAAAAGGAAATACATAAAGAATAAAACTGGAGAACAACTCTAAAAATATGCGAGTGAATTTAATACAATAAAAATTAGTGAAAGATTTCTTTGTTGGCAGGTAGGAAAAAAGCAAGTATATGAAGTGCAGAATAAAAATGGCGGACAGCGAGTACCACACATGCAAAGCAGTGATTTAATACATACACACATATGTAAGTAAAGGAATACTTGACGTTTGAGGTTGTGTGAAGTTGAGTAGAAAAATGACAAATCGAGTGTATAAAGTGCAGAATCAAAATGGCGGACAGCTCTGCTAGCATAGAAAAGTAAATTTACTCAATGCAATCAAGTTAGTCGTAAAGGAGTGCTTGAAGTGTGAGGTTGTGAAGTTTAGTAAAATAAAAAATAAAATAAATCGAGTATAATAAATGCAGAATAAAGATGGCGGACAGCTCTTCACATTCAGAAGTATAAAAAAGTGAATTTAATAAAATCAAATTAGTAGTAAAGAAATGTTTGACGTGTTAGGTTTTGTGAAGTGATGTAGAATAATGAAAGGTAAGCCTATAAAATGCGCACGCGTGACAGTAAATTTTTGAAATAGCTTAATAAAGTGAGCATAGTATAATAAAATATGCGAATAGCTGTGAACATTCGAGAGTAAATAAAAGTGAATAATCCATGAAGTTCTTTGTTAGGTAAAATTATGTAGGAAAATTAAAAATTGAGTATATAATATGCAGAATAAAGATGGCGGAAAGCTCGACACATGCGAATTTATAAAAGTGAATTTAATAAAATCAAATTTGTAGCAAAGGAATGCATGACGTTTGAGGTTATGTGAAGTTTTGTATGTGTAGAGAAATGACAAATCGGACATATAAAGTGCAGAATTAAGATGGCGGACAGCTCTGCTAGCATATAAAAGTAAATTCATTTAATACAATCAAGTTAGTCTTAAAGCAGTGCTTGAAGTGTGAGGTTGTGAAGTTAAGTAAAAAAAAAAAATTAAAACTCAAGTATAGTAAATGCAAAATCGAGATGGCGGACAGCTCTTCACATTCAATATAAATAAAATATAAAATCAAATTGGTAGTAACGAAATGCGTGTAAGGTTATGTGAAGTAATGTAGGATAATGAAAGCATACAAGCATATAAAGTGCGCACGCGTGACAGTAAATTTTTAAAATAGATGAAATAAAGTGAACAGAGTATAATAAAATATGCGAGCAGCATTCGAGAGTAAATAAAAGTGGAAGAAAAAGCAAAATTATAAAAAATAAAATTAGAATTTAATACATTCAAATAATTTATTGTTAGGTGTGAAAAAATAAAGTATAGAAGGTACAGAATAAAAATGGAGGACAGCAAGTATATAACAGTGAATTAAATACATACACATATATGCAAAGGAATGCTTGACGTTTGAGGTTGTGTGGAGTTGAGTAGAAAAATGACAAATCAAATATATAAAGTGCAGAACCAAGATGGCGGACAGCCCTGCTAGCATATAAAAGTAAATTTACTCAATACAATCAAGTTATTCGTAAGGGAGTGCTTGAAGTGTGAGGTTGTGAAGTTTAGAAAAATAAAAAAATTGAAAATCGAGTATAATAAATGCAGAATCAGGAGTAAATAAAAATGATTTTTAATAAAATCAAATTAGTAGTTAGTAGTTAGTGATGTGAAGTGATGTAGGATAATGTAAGGCAGGCATATAACTGCGCATGCGTGACAGTAAATACTTAAAATAGCTTAAATAAAAGTGAGTCTAGTATAATAAAATATGCGAACAGCTGTAAAAATTAGAAAATAAAAAGTGAATTTAATATAATTAAATTTGTAAAGGGATTCTTTATATTTTGTGAAGTTATGTAGAAGAAAATGTAAGTATAAATGGTGCATTTTCTGATTAAATATATTATATTATTTTATAAAATTCAATTTAACAAAACACAACACAAATTGCGGACAGTCTACAAATTAAAAAAAGTGCATTCAATTTATTAGAAGAAAATTTGCGAACAGCTCTAGACATTTCTGCGCATGTTAAACTGAATTTAAGAAAGTCAAGGCGAAATAGCATATGAAGAGGAATGAAAAACCAATATGGCGTTGCTTCAATAAGTGCAAATGATGTATATGTATGTGTGTGTGACAAGTATATAAGGAGAACGCGTAAAAGGAGAAAATCAAGATGGTGGATAGTTCTACACATTCGTGTACACACATAGATGAAGGCATAAAAGAGACAGGAAAACGAAGCATATGTAGAAATAGAAACCAAGTTAGTATAGCGGAATTCTTGATGTTTGAGGTTAAGTGTAAGTTAAGAAGGAGAATAAGAAAATATGATGTTGCTTCACATGTATACGTGTGTATGCATAGTAAATGTAAAAGTATACAGGGAGAACGCGTGAAAGGAAAGAATCAAAAATGGTGGATAGCTCTACACATTCGTGTGTATGCATACATAGAGGAAGGCATAAAGGAGATTGAAAAACGAAGTACATGAGCAAGTTAGAATTTGGAATTTGCAAACACGTGTGGACGTTCGTGTGTATAACGGAAGGAGAGAAAGAGAAGGAGAAAGAAAAGATCATGGTGTTGCTTCACATGCATACGTGGTTATGCATAGTAAATGGAAAGTATATGAATGCAAAGCAAAGCAAGGAATTAATATGGCGGACAACTTTGCCTTGTACATTCGTGCATTTCTAATTGAGGTTACGTGTACTTATAGGGCAGAAGGAATTGCGAAATATATGAAAAGCATGCGTGATTAATAATTGTGAACAGTTCAAGAATCGTGCTTAAGTAAAATTCATAATTAAAATTTAATTTATTTCAGTCAAATCAGTGAAGAGGTTTTTGATGTTTTTGGTTAGTCGCAGTTGCATATGAAGGAGAATGAGAAAGGAATATGGCTTTGCTTGACATACGCTTGTGCTAATGTAGAGAGAGAGAGAGAAAGCAAAGAATTAAAATGGTGGACAGTGAATTTAATACAATTAAATTATGAGTTCTTGATGTTGAGGTTAGGTGAAGTCATATTGGCAACGAAGGAAAATGAAAAAAGAATATGGCGTGACTGCAAGAATGATAGAATGACGAGAATTCCAATTCAACTCGAACTTATGCAAATATTTAATATATTATGACTTACTAATACAACTATATTAATATAACCTACCTTGCTGTAGCCCAGTTCAAACAGATAAGACGGGTGTATGGTGAAGAAGGCGATGTCCGAGTATAGAGCGAACGTGATGCCCAGCACGATGTTAACGTAGATGGGTTGCTTGAGGAGTGGCAGATCGAGGAAATCGGCAATGGTGCCCCAGCAGCTTCGCTTGGCCACAGCACTGCCATCGGATGCATTGGCCATCGGATTCGGAGCGTTGACAATGGGGTCGCTGACAATGGAATGGCGTCGCGATGCCTGCAGGCTGTGCTGCATCTGTGGAGACGCATCGGTGACAACTATCGGGCCAGACCAGTTGCCCAGGCTGGTGATGCTGGAGGAGCGACTGGATATTAGCTTCAGCATGTGCTCGTCCACGTGCGAGACACGACGTGAGCCCAAACGCGAAACTGGCAGTGAATCGGGAACCGCCGCAGCCCCGCCATTTGTCTTTGGCCCAAAGTCGAGTTCTGGTATCGGTGTCAGTGGCGTCTCTGGCTGAATGTGCACCACGACCGTTGGCTGAACAATAGGCTGCAACTGCTGTGCCTCCTCCTCGACAGGCACGCGCCGCATATGCCACTCGACAGGATGCATGAGCAGCATGCCCAGCACGGCGTGCGCATTGATCCCCGTGAGCACCAGAAGGCAGCCACGGAAGCCGTACGTCTGCATCAGCATCTGCATCAGAATGGGATAGACCATCGAGCCGAGGCCAATCAGCGACTGGGCGAAGCTCATCCACATGACGCGGTTCTTCACGAAATAGTTGTTAAACGACGTATAACTGGTGGGAATGATTAGGCCGAATCCGGTGCCCTGCAACAAACTGAATGCAAAGGTCAGCTGCAGCGTTGTATTGGCAAACACCTGCATGCCCGTGCCCACAAAGTAAAGGATGCCACCGGCCAAGCCCACGGGCCGCATGCCAAACTTTCGGAACAGCGAGCCGGAGAAGAGACCCGCAAAGCTCAGCGAGCAAAAGAATGAGCTGGTTATGATGGCAATGGCGCTCGTCCCGGCGCCGATGCTCTTTAGGAAGTCGCCAAAGATTAGGCCAAACGAGGGCAACGCTGCCAGGCCGCTGATCTGTAAGAAAGCGCCGCACATGTATCAGATGAATATTGATAGATATATATATAGAGAGAGAGAGGTATACTTATACATGTACTAAATATATATATACTATATAACTCTCCTCTCTTCTATGTGCAGTCTACACTTACGAATGGCAGCGCCATGCCAATGCAGACGAGTATGCCCCAGCCGCCATCGGGGGCCACCCATTGATAGGATTTGGACTTAGCTGTCGCTGCTGTCGGTGCTGCTGCAGTCATCTTAGCTGCTCGGAAGTCGTCCGGTAAGTGAATCGCGCCGGGACTAGATTGAAGATCTCATCATCCGTTTGCCTATTAATCATCAGCATCTGACTGCTGACGGCTGACAGTAGCAATTAGTTTGAATTGTGATGCTAGTTTAAGCCATACAAACTGAAGGAAGATTAGATTAGGGCCAGCTAAAAGTGTGCCTCCTCTATGGATGCTTGGACAGCACCTTACACTGTGATGGCCGTGTCAAAACTTCCGTGGCAAGCCCCATTCACATAGAGTAGTCTCGTTCAGATGGGATCTACCTTTTATTTACCATCGGTCCACACGGTATTCTCTATACCCCGGACTCATTGAAAACGCAGAGTTGGGGTATAATGGTTCTGAGAGAGTGGAGGCGAAGTGGTAGAGCCCCCCATAAAGTGTTTATATTCTTATAAGATTATATAGACTTAATGGACTCTACCATGCTTGGGGATCTTGTACAATGCGTAGTACGAGCTTTTCATTTATTTTCAATAGCTTCCATTTTGGTATCGATAAAGCGATATAATATACCCCAAGTAATGTAGGCTTCTACTTTATTTGTATAGGTTCCTACAATGAATATAAAAAACATCCGAGTTTGGATACCTTCTCTCCGCTAAAATAGACAGACTCTCTAAATATTTCAGGGTATCTCCCAGTCGCGTGCTTCTCCCCCAACATCGCTCTTGTTGTTTTCTTTCTGGCAAAACATGCAATTACAGCTCCAAGAATTCTTGGTATCAACAATCATCAGCTATCATTTAGAATATTTTCCGTTATCAGTCAACTATTTACAGTGCCAACAGCGTTCGGTCTGGTTGTTTAGATAAAGTGCCATCTCTCTGAAATCCCCGTGAGATTTATAGCAAGTGCATGGAGCCTGAAGCCTCTTTCCTCACTAGAAATGTCGCTGGAGACTAACGGGCGTATAATTTATACCAATTTAAATTTATTCTTCACGCATTAGGGGCGCTTTTTAGCCAGACGTACTCTCTTGGTTGGTTTGCTCGCCAATTTTATGGCCGGCAACCGACTGTGCCCGAGATCTCTGCCATGTAATAATTATCATTATCATTATCATTATCAATTTCGTCATATTTGCCGTATGAAAAGAGACAGTGATTGCTTTACAATCGAGTTGATTTTACGGAACTACCATTATCGCTTACAATTTGCTTTTCTATTTCAAACGGCCTTCAACTGAGCGGGGTCGTGTGACTGCTCGACTGGGAGATACCGGCACCGATATCTGCCTGAGTATAAAATCTTTTATATCCGACTGGGAGATACCAATTGCCCCCAATTGAAACTCTCGTCTGTTATTATATCACTTTATTTAAATTTGATAATATATCATCTAGTTATATATATACATATATATTTATTTATATATATGTATGTTATGTATAAGGCAATATCGTCAATGCATATCCAAAAGATAACACTGTTTCTCTAAATATAATTACTATATTTCTAAACAAGTATACAGTAATACATATCATATATGTTAGTTATATACATACAGACATGTACATCTATATATTCATAAAAAAAATCGGGTTTTATATACTACACACAACATATTCCTTTCAAGTTTTTAAGTACATACTGTTTTGTGAGTTTCCTAATGGATTAAATTATTTCATTGTTTTGTGTTAGTGTGGGCGTGGCATATAGCTGCCATATATACTATATTGTTGTAGCCCAATCTGAACAGTATGCTTTTTGGTCATGACATTTTCTATATACTTAAGCAGCATTTATTGCTTTCCGTTGTTCTTTTATGATTATTCTTTTATCATTTCTCTTGTCATTGTTTTTCTCGATTTTTATATATCTTACAATAAGGCATTATTTCATGTCCAGCAAAGCTTTTGTTTAGGCACAGCTATACACATACACACCTGTGTAGGTGTACTTAGCGTGTTGCATGTTAGTTGTCTGGCATTTTATTGGCTAAATGGAGAACCTAATGCAGATGCATATATTTGTAGTTAACATTTTGTTGCTTGCTTCTGGTGGGTTATTTTCATTCAATTTAATATTTATATTGTATGACATTATCTCTTTCCATCTTTCTCTTCTATCTCACTGTATCCGTTGTCTATCTCATTGTAACTCGGTTGGGCTGCACTCCGAAAGATGATGGTTACGCCCACTTTTTCTCTCCCTTGTCGCCCCCTCTATCTCTTGTATAATTTCTCTATTCTTTAATACCCCTTTCGTTCTCCCTCTAGTAATTTAGCTCTTCAATTTTTTATTTCTTTATAAGTATATCTCTCTTTGTCTATAGTGTACTGTCTTTCTCTGTTTATATGTTTCTCTCTCTCTTTCTCTACTTTCTCTCTCTCTCTCTCTCTATACATATATCCTTGTTTCTTTTTGTCTTTCTGTATCTGCAATTATATTTCTGATTTTATGTCCCTTCCTCTCCCTCTCTCTATGTGTATCTCCGATTTCTACTTTTATTATATAAAATTTACATATATCTCTCCCTAAATTTCTTTCATTCTCTCTGTCTCTGTATAGTTGTATATTTCTTCTAAAATACATTTCTGTAACTATCTCTTCCCTGCCTTTATTTCCTTCTCTCTATATCTCCATCTCCATTCGTCAGTACCTTGTTCTATCCATCTCTCTGTCTCACTAACTAACTCTCCCACTTGCCTTCTCTTTTCTCTCTCTTTATCTATCATTGGCATTTTCAAGTTTAGTTAACCTTCACAGCTGCCAGCAAATTTGTCTGGGAGAAGTGTGTTTAGGTGTATATGTATAAATCCTGTTTCAATATAACTTTATTTTGTTAACTCAGTTCATTTAACTTGGCTTCTGGTTCGTGTATATGTTTGTAAATGTTTCTATAAATAGGCATATGAATCAGGTGTAAATTGGTAAAACAATTCCATTTCCAGTTTAAGTGTGTTTTTAGCTCTTTCCTATAGTTAGGTAAGGTATATATTTATATGTATATATATGATTTCATATAGATATATTTTTAGGTAGCTCATGTTGGTGTGTTCCGTGGTCGTTTCAAAAGTATATATAAACATGTATATTTGTATATCAATTTTAAAGCCAGTTTTTCATTTATTGTTTGTTTGATTTGTTGTCGTTGTTTTGTTGTTTTTTAATGCCTTTTGTTCATATTAATATTGTACAGCTATATTTTTGTGTACATTGTAAAATATGCTCGCTTTACGTTCTAACTTACAAGCTATCTTTGAACTATCACATACAAGTTCATACAATAAGTAAAAAAAAAAAAAAAAAAAAAAGAGTTGATAAAATAATAATAGAGACTAATAGGTATGAATGATGTTAAAGCTCGTTCCACTAACAGATCTCAAGTGGAACGAACTTTACACACATATATATTTATGTATATATATATAGTAGACTGGCAAATGAGAGTTTAATACAGTTAGAGGAGAGGGTTACACAGTGCAATTGCTATATTATTATTATGTATTAATTATTATTATTACTTTTTTTCCTGGGCTATTTAGTTAGGTCAGCTAACACTCTCTGTAAATAGCCCGCAAAGACGTACTTTTATTAAGTATCTATGTATATGTTAATTAAGTATTAAGTAGTTTGCATTTGATGAGTTTTTCTTATTTTGTTGCTGTTTTTATTCTGCATCTCTGTTAATTCTCTCTTGATCTTTGGCCTTCATATTACAGCTTGACATCCTGGCCGGCTGGCGCTGTCGCTGACGCTGTGCCAGCTGCTCCGCTTGCTTCAGCTGCGCCCTCCTGTGCCACATCGGCGGTGCGACGACGCGACTGGATAAACTCCACCAAATACTCAATGCCCCAGGCGACGGCGCAGATCATAATGCAAACGCTCTGCGCGTGAATGCAAATGGGGTAGCTCTCGGTAAGATCACGAATCAAACCTGAAATCAATCAATCAGTTAATTAGTTATCAACAAAATAATCTTATAGATCTCACCAATCAGTGGCCCGAAGCTGATGACAAACAACGCCTTGCCCACCAGATGCCAGCCAAAGGCCGAGGGCAGCTTTTCCAGCGAACAATACTCGGAGACGGTCAGCGTGAAGTTGCTCAGCGCCGAGCCACGGAAAAAGCCGCAAATCGATAGCCAGACCATGAGCTGTGTCCAATCCGTTTGCTCTGCCATAACTGCAAGGCAAATATAAACATTAGATGGATGATGGATGGATGGACTGGCCTCCAATCTATACTTACTGGAGCGCGTGATGGCCACAAAGATGATCGAGATCAGGAAAATGGTGCGTTTCCTGATCGTGGTCCTGTCGAAGATGGGCGGCAGTACGATACGCGCTGCGATGTCCGTGATGGCTGTTATCGATAGACAGTAGGCCACATCCGCCTTGGAGTAGCCCAAGTTGGCAAAGAAGAAGGGCGTCACCATTTTAAAGTTCATCTCGGCCACGTAGAAGATGGACAGGCCGAACAGCAGATTAAGAAACATCTTGTCCTTGAGCATGGCAATGTCGAGCAGATCGGCGAAACGACGCCAGAAGCCCGGCTTCTTGGCGTTCTTCTTGGCCTCCTCGTCGGCGAGTTCGGTCTGCTGTTTCTCCAGTTCGGTGGGTTTCATTTTGATGAAGCTGTCACGATGTCCGCCCAGGATGCTGCCGGTGGCGGTGCCAACGCGTCGCAGCTCCAGATCATTGCGCTCGAACTCATCGTCGCCGGTATTCAGATGCACCTGGAGTATGGAGCCGGTGAAGTCCATGTAGGACAGATTCGAGGTGACGGACGCCTTGCGGCAGCGCAGCTGCGTCGTATTGATCTCCGCCTGTGAGGGATAGCCGCCGCTGCCGCTGCCCACGTCCGCGGACTGCACACCAGCCAGAGACATGATGCGCGGAAAGGTCGGCCGCTTGGTCAGGCCCAGTCTGGAGCCGTTCATCGTGTTCATGGCCATTTCCGAGTAGTTCTTGCGCATCGAAGGATGGCCGTGCTGATGGTGATGCTTGTTGAAGAGCAGCGTATTCAGCTCTGGCAGCGCATCCTCCTCGTTGCCATCCTCTTTGATCACATTGAAGGTGGGCGCCGGATTCGCTGCTGCGCCAGTGCCGGCCGTCAGCTGCGGCTGCGGCGTCGGCAGCGCCGAGATGCACATCAATTCCTCGTCATCGAACTCCTCCTTCATGTGCCACTTGACGGGCTGCAGCAGCACCGAGCCGACAATTGCGTTCAGCGCCACGCCCGACAGCAAGAGGACCGCACCACGAAAACCATACGCTTCCAGCAGGATTCGCACCAGTTGCGGCATTATCAGCATGCCCATCGCCGTGCCCGCCATGGAGAGGCCCACCGCCTGGCCGCGCTTATGCTTGAAGTAGTGATTGAGTGCCACAAACGCCGCCGACGTGGACAGCCCGACGCCGATGCCGTTGATCACACTGTACGTGCTCAGTATGTGCGCCATTGTCGTTGCCGGCGAGGTCAGGGCCAGGCCCAGGCCGCACAGCAGGGAGCCAGCTATGGCCACCTTGCGGTAGGAGAACTCCTTCAGCAGCGGCCCCACAAACAGGCCCGAGAAGTTCATGCACACGTCCATCGTGCTGATAATGACGGCGGCTCCAGTGGTGCCCACATTGAGATCGCGCAGCGTGTCCCCAAACAGCAGGCCAAAGGACGGCTCAATCGAGCGAGTCGCCAACTGTAAGCAAGAAGTAAATGGACTTTACCAACTGTTATCTCTTCAAGCATTAACTAACTACAGGTTACACAACCTTGCAGCTGGAGGGGCGCTTTAAGTGTGTGACGTGCACTAAGCTCTTATATAAGAGCACTGAAGCAAAAGTTCTTTCAAGCGAAATGCGTTATCTGAACAGCTATTGAAGGTTCCGGTCTCAAATTGATAGCACCGGTGCCTATGCCTGTACCCAAGCACAGCTGGCGCTTAGGCATATGCAAAAAGAGAACGAGAGAGCGAGAGATTCACAGGTGAGCGAGATGCTATGCTTCAGGTATCAGAAATAGACAGACGATAAATGAGTTGACAAATTATAAGAAATTTTATATGACTTCTCCAATGATGGAGGGTAACTTTAATTTACTTTTTATTATACAGTAGAATCTGGTTATATCGACTCCACTTATAGCGTCTGTACGGTTATAACGGCGAAAACTCCTGTCCCCAGACAAACTTTTGTGAGCAAACTTATACGGTTATAGCGCCTTATAAGCGGATTCAACTGTATTTATATTTTGATCTTCATGATTGACTGATGTATATATGATGCTATGTACAGTCATATTGTGAATGATTGAGTGATTCTTCTTTTGGCTATGAATTATATCTTTATATACAGTTCGGTCATGGTTGTTGACTGATTGATAGATTGAACAGTATGTGTAAAACAGTTAGTAATGATTGATGGCTTAGTCTATTGATTGATTGACTAACTAATTGAACAGCTGGCTTAAAAGACTTGCTGATTGACAGAGGGTTTAAGTACAATTTATACTGATTGATCGGTAAATAATTAAATGATTGACTGACTGATTTTACAATGTTTATTGATTGATTCACTATCTAGTATGTCTGACCGACTGATTGCAAATATATATATATATAGCACAATGTCATTTGCCTGATTGACAGATGACTTTACTGCTTCATTGATTGACTGCTTGATTGACAGACAAACTGATTGAACAGCATGCGTTCGACAGTTTCTACGCATTGATATACTTAATGTTTGATTGATGAACTTGCATATTTATGAACTGATTGACTCATTGACTGATAATGATTGCTTAGCAAACTGTCTGATGCCTGATGCATTTACATTAATATATCTGCAATAATTATTTTCCTAATAGCAAGACTAGCATTTGTATTACCTGGGTAAGTCATCAGCTCATTATTAATTATGAGCAAGTTATTAATTACCAACTTTATGACAGATGCACTGGGCTAAGGAAGCCATGGATAAGGCCTACCGATTGACGCTAGTCTATAATATATGACCTTAGCCCGCTTTTTATATTGGCCAATTTGTAGGAGCTAATCGGGTGCGACCAGCCGCGTGATTTATCGGCCAAACAATTGGTAATCAGCAAAAATGCGAATTCAATGCGATCGTCAATGGCAACGTCATCATATTTCGACTCACTATCAGCAGCAGCAGCGGCAGCAGCGCAGTCGCGCCGTAAGTACGATAAGGCAGGGACAGGTAAGTAGACAGAGAACCTATCTATGCCTATACCGTAGCACACTATTACGTATAACCAACTAATGTCCATTTTTCTGTAATACCAATGTGATATATGTGTCAATGCACTTGAAATTTTGTCATTTGTCAATCCCCCTCAACTCAAAGAGCCTTCACTCGCGTATCATGCAGCAGGCTAATGATTCCACTGTTCCAAAAAGTACAATGAGAAAAATAAAATGAGGGCAACGATGTTCCGGGTCGAAACCTTCAGACCCACCAGCAGCACACTCCATGCCCTACCCTCAGACAGTGAATTCATTTGTATTCAACTGGATATTTAGTTTTATATTCACGCGCTCCATTTTCGAACTACCATTGAAACTCTCTCAGCTGTTTGCCCAATGAATATTTCATTTATCTGTCGATAATTTATTCGATATGAAATTCAATTTGAGATCTGCATTTATCCGCTCAGTAAAGAATCTCATGAATTCTAAGCACTTGAACGGTTAAATCTCTAATGCATATTATCTATTGTAAGACTTCGCAATCAGTGAGAAGCCTTATATTGAAAGCGGTTATATAAGCCGTTTGTTATTGTTCCTAAATCAAAGAGAGTCGATTCCATTCTAGTTTTATTATCTATAGATCCCACTCCTTAGCCAATTTATTGAGTGACAAATTTCTTGTTGTTTTCCACCTTAAAACAGGTGCTTGAAATATATATATTTATCGATGCTTATAATGATGATGATGATGATGATGATAACGGTGATAATAATTCGTGAAGTGCTTTATTTGTGACTTTGCAACGATTATTTATTGATTATGGCTGTTATTGATTCTAGCATTCGCGAGTATTGCTTTTCATTTCACTCCCGTCGAGGCAGCGCCCACCACCTCCTCTCCCCTTGCCGGCGCAGAGCCACGGCCAGGAATTCGTAAAATTAGTCTTAGATGTTTATGGGCGCTTCATTCAAAACGTTAATTGCTCGATAATTGAATTATCACCAATCATAATTGAAACTAGAAAGCAACACGCGCTCGCTTAATGTCAGAATAAACACACGCTCCCTAAATACCAATAGATATGGCCAACAGCCTGTAGCCAATAGCAATAGCCAATAGAATACGGCCCGAGCAGCAGCTAGTTTGTTGCCTAGCGATCGAGTTTAAGGGGTTTCTATAATTGGGCGCACTTTGATTTTGTCAAATCGCATGTGATCGCGACATGGCATAAATTGATTCGCACCAACTCAGTTAGCTTATCGCACCAGATATGTGAATGTGTCGTATATATAGATTTTGCTATACATGTAGGTAGTATTTGGATAATATCTCGCATTAAGATCTGTTTGTATGCTAGGAATTTTAATGATCTCTGATTGGAGAGCGTATATAGACAGTTGAGTGTATTAATCACAGTTCCAATAACAGCCTTTAGTTGAGTCTATATAGAGTTGTATATATGGAGTATACTACATCTATATTCTAGTCTACAATTGAGTGGACTGTGTATAGCTATATCTATATAACAAAGTATAGATTATCTATATCCTTGTCTACAGATGTGTCTATATATCCGAGTACAGATTGTTTATATACTTGCCAAGACTTGACTCTGTTGTAGTAGCTTGTCTGTATCAGCTATATCCAATAAGAATAGGATTGGCTATATATAAGACGATCTACTTCTATTGTATTATCTTATATATAGATATAGATCTAATTCTATTGTATTATCTTATATACAACTTTACTTCTATCGTATACGAGTGTTTATATTATACATTTCATTTTGATATATATTAGTATTAGTATTATATCATTTATATCGATGCAAATCATGGATTTGTGTTTATATATGGATATGGATATGGATAGCTACGCTTTGATATATAGAGACAGCTCTATTATTGGAGTTGTTTATCTTAATCTGAATCCTTTAAACAATTTATACATCTGAACAATACAATAATATATAATTCGATTATTTTAATTATTATTATCATCATTAGTATTTCAAGGTCTGATTAAAACTGTTCCGATGATAATCTGCTTGTACAGTGGCACATAAGTGAGGTCCTACATTCACAACGATTTTATATAGTCTCTTATCTGAGGCAGCTAATCTCATTACTGTATAATTTGTATGAGCTTATCATTATCAACATCATCGTTCGACTTTTGCATTGCAAATGTTTGAAGTGTTTTTCTATTGTTGTTGTTGTTGTTGATTTGTTGTCCAAAACATTGACTCATTCGATTCACAGCCGTTCTTCCATTGATTATGCAAATACATTAGCATATATATACGTGTATGTATATATTTGTATATGTAGCTATATATTTGTCTGTCAGGTTTTCTTTCTTTTTTTTTAGCGCAAAACATCAAAAGTCAAACAAAAATCGGTTCGTTCGTTAATCGCTGAGCCGCAAATGCTCTAAATCAGCTTTAGATTTATATTTATTGACCAACAACAAACACGCCCCGAACAGCGCTTCCTTGTGCTAGCTGCTCAAAAGGGTGCGACTTTGTAGTGTCTCTCTGTGTGTGTGTGTGTGTGTGTGTGTGTGTGCACAACTACTACTATATTTTTTATTATTGGTAAACATTTGTGCAATATTTTCCAATCCAATTTACAGCTAGTCGCTGTGAGCACTTGCGTGAAATTAACGTGATATTTGGATGTTCGCTTGCAGCGCAGCTCAAATCGATAAAAAAAAGCAAGCTATATATATATAGCTATAACTTATAACTTATGTATACACATACGTATACTTATATATATTTCGAGTTATTTGACGGCATCGGCATTATAGCTAAACTGAATATATAGTATAAACTAAAAATTTCAATTTTGGTATGGGGTATTTGCCGGTCAGGCAAGTTTTCTGGCAAATTGGTAGATTTAGCAGCTCGCATAAATCACAATATAATATATACATACCTATATAATTAATATGAGTTTTGCTAAATATTTTAAACAAAGCATTTATATAAAGCAAAGCTTATATATTATATATATACATATATAACTGATGTGTATGTATATATATGATTATTGACGATCTATATATGTTCCCATAACAGGGTCTGCTGCTGGAGGTCTATAGTTCCATCTAGATCCCATTACATATACAATATTACAATACTATGTAAGGGGATCCAGATGGAATTATCGATCTCAAGAAGCTGAGTTTGCTATGGATCACAGTGAAATAGTTGAAAATATAGACAGACCGTCAATAATAATATAAATTTTGAGCTTTTCTTAACACTTGATTGATTATTATTTTGTCTATCGTTTCGTACCTTTTAGGTTAAGTTTTGTTTCTGCGAACTTTCAATTTGAAGGCTAAGCTAATGCTCAGCTATCAAAGCTATTTGATTTGTTAGGTCCTAAAATGTGCATCTAACAGATTTAATAAAATACACGCGCATATATACATCAATATAGAATTTTTATCGTAGATATAGGATATTATACATAAA